GAACTCAAAAGTCTTATTTATAAAATCAAAAGAAAGTGTATCAAATGCTTTTTCAAAGTCGATCATTACTAATAGTCCTGGCATTCTTTTTTCTTCTAAATAATTCATTATTTCGTAGACTAATCGTATATTCTCTCCGATAAATCTTCCTTTTAGAAATCCTGTTTGGTCTGTATCTATCAAACAGTTTAAAACTGACTTAAGTCTTTTGGCTAATGTGCCTGAGGCTAGTTTTAAAGTATAATTCAATAAAGTTATTGGTCGCCAGTAGGACACCATAACATTGAAAGCGCATGGTATTTCAATGGCTCTGTGTACGGACTATCAACATACAATGAACGTATCAAGTTTGATATATATGACAATATAAACAATACAATAGAGGAATTTAGAAACAGACATAGAGGTGATAGACCAGACCTAAAGCAGAGGAAATGAAGGGATTGGAATACTTCAAAGAAACAACATATTTTACATCATTGTACTCCACTCCCTTTTGCATTTTTTATGTGTCTGTTTTGATTAATAACTTGACTGTGAGACAAAACCTTTGTACAGTAAACCAGCCTCATATTTGTAAAGTTATAAACTTTTATCTTGTTAGCCTTTTATAGAGAAATTATATCAGTTGCTTTGTTACAAAGTACATACAGTAAAACCTGTGTTAGTGACCACTTCGAATAAAAAACACCCTGTTACTAAAGACCACTTTACACTAACTTGTCATTGATTATTTAGAACAAAGAACCTCCAAATAAAAACACTTGTTTATAAAGATCATGCTGGACACTCTTTTGGAACTGTGTTCACAGGTTTGACTGTATACTAGATAAGGCCATATTTTATCAATAGAGATACATTTTTTTTTTTTTTTTTTTTTTTTTTTTACGGATTCTTTTTGATGTTGTTAGACTACTTATAGAACTTTTTGCATTTTTTATGATTATATTCCTTTGTTATTATTTTTTCCCCTTTAAATATCATATCCAATTATAAGTAAACATGCAAATATTTTAGTACTCTAACAATTAAAACTGGAAATATACAATTAAGGTCAGTTGGAGGTTGATTGATGAGTCTTGTAGGTGTGGATTGACCTTATCACTTGATCCATCTTGAACTTCATTTTATTTTTGTTCCCTTATTCTAAATTTTTAAGTGATAAAATATAATAATCATAAAAAAACACATAGTATAAGTTGTTTATTTTGTCCTCTTTACATGATTTATGTTTATAAATAGTGTATAAATTAAAAATTCAAGCTGGAAATATACAATGTAAGGTCAGTTGGAGGTAGATGGATGAGTCTTGTAGGTGTGGATTGACCTTATCACTTGACAAATCCATCTTGAACTTCATCTGTTTTTTTCCTGTTCCCTTTTTCTAGACTTTTTAAATGATAAATTATAATAATCATAGAAAACACATAGCACATATTGTTTATATTGTCCTGTTCTTTGGACATGCTGTATGTTAATAAATAGACGTGTATACTGAAATGTTATTGGATGTTTATTCTTAGAAGTTGTTTAGATGATAAGGATCTTTTGATGAAATTATTAGAAAAAACTGTATTAATTTAACAATAAAATAACAGAATGAACTATGCATCTGAATGGAATTTTTGTTACAAATATTTTTTTTCTTCTCATTAATCTTAGGTAGTTATATTGTATTTCACTCTTATATTGCATTCTATTTATGTGTTTATTTTTTACAGGGTAGCTCTAAATATAAACATGTTCTTTATATTACGTGTACATATTAGTGTTTTGTTAAAATGGGTTGTTTGTTGTATGCAAAATGACCTGTTACAGTATGGCTTTTTTACTTACTTACAGATGAATTTCGATAATGGCAGAAATTAAAATTGTTACATATAATTGTAGAGGTTTACATGATCCGAAGAAAAGAACCGATGATTTTGATTTTTTAAAAGGAAAATGTAATGCTGATATAGTCTGTCTTCAAGATGTACATTTTACGTCCAATATGAAAAAGCATTTATACTCTCAATGGAATGCTGAATGTTATTTTAGTTTTGGTACTTCTAATGCCCGTGGTGTGGCCATTTTGTTCAAAAGAAATCTAGATATGTAAGTACATCAGATTTTTGCTGATGATAATGGTAATTACCTTGTTCTTGATCTTACACTTAATTCTAAAAAGTTCACATTAGTTAATATATATGGCCCAAATATAGACATGCCAGAATTTTATGATCACATTTTTCAAATTATTGATAATCTAGAAAATGATTCGTATATATGTTGTGGTGACTTCAATCTTGTAATAAATACTAACCTTGATTATTACAATTATGGAATCAATGGATAATAATAAGAAAGCTAGAGATTTACTTCTTCAAAATATTAATAGTCGACATTTATTTGACCCGTTTAGAGAATGTAATAAAGATACTAGATAGTATACATGGCGTCGGACAAGTCCGACACAGCAGGCTAGGTTAGATTTCTTTTTGATTACTGAGGATTTTTTTACCTCAGGTAAGGAGTTATGACGTAGGTCTTAGCTATAGATCAGATCATTCAATTGTAACACTTAGTTTAGATCTTAGTATGTGCCTCATGGTAAAGGTCTCTGGAAATTCAATAACTCTCTTTTATATGATAAAGAATATTTGAATATCATTAATGAAAAAATTGAAGAAATAAAAAAACAATACTGTTTACCTGTATATAATGTAGAAAATATTGAAAATATTAGCAATAGTGAACTATCATTTGTTATTGGTGACCAGTTATTTTTAGAAACTCTGTTGATGGAAATAAGAGGAAAAACTATTTCTTATGCAAGTTTTAAGAAGAAGAAAACCAAATCTAGAGAGGATGGTTTAATATCACAGATTACAGATTTAGAAAAAAAAATCAAATGATGCTGGAAATGTTAGATTATTAAACTTTCAAAAAGAATTTGAAACAATAAGACAAAGGTAATTTCATACGCTCTAGAGCAGAATGGATTGATAATGGTGAAACACCAACTAAATACTTTTGTAATCTTGAAAAATATAACTATACTTCAAAAATCATTCCTTTTTTGGAAAAAAACTAATGGTACCATTATATATGAGCAGTCAGAAATTTTAAAAGAAAGTGAAATATTTTATGAAACACTGTATACAAAAACTGATTCTCCTGATGATTTTCATATGGAAGAGTTTTTAGGCAACATAACTGTCCCAAAAAATGTCAGGCACTTTTGATTCTTTTATGAGGAGGCTATCCAGCTAGCTTATTGAACGTCGGCGAATCTACTCAGGTGGCCAAAAAATAAAATACAGACGGGCACCTGGGGTCTTCCTCGACCAGTAAACCTAGAGAGTTGCCAAATAATCTCTTGTGAGGATATTTATATAAATACTTGTCCGAAATAAATAGTTCTTTATCAACTATGCAAGAAGTAACATATTCTCTGGCGCTTGTTTATAAAGGAATAGGTAATTAGAAAGGCAATACATTAAAGCTAAAATATTTAAGAAAATGAACATTAATCAACGAAAAAAAATATAACAAAAGTATCGAAAGAATATAACATGTAAATACCCTTTCTTCCTTTTAGCAATGCAAAGAATCAAGACGGGTATACCTGCTGTTTGAATGTTGTTTTTTTTGTTGTTTTTTTCGTTGCAATAGTTAAAGTGCAAATCTTTAAAAATGACACTATGCCCATCTAAATGCAAATGATAAATGCACTTAAAAATATTCTAAGAATTTTACATGTTGCCAAAATTGTGCCAAATATTATTGTTTATTTAGCACAGATAGTCAGTTATTCAAGTGACTCACGAACATTTCTTTGTATATCTTTCGAATTTATTGGCAATGTTCAATTTCTAATAAAAGTGTGGACAATCTTTTCATAATTTAGTCTTTCTGTTGTATCCTTTTCGTTATTGTAACATTTTTCACTATCATTTATTGGTAAATTACCATTATAATAATCAATGTTTTTAATTACAGTTTGCTCCAGTTACTTCTCTTATCTGAGAAGCCAAACTCAAATATGCCCCGTAATATGTATCGTTGAATTGCGTAGAACAGGGGGGGGGGGTTGAAATAAGGCTTTATAACATACGACCACAACATGTTTTAAATCTAAGTATTTAATTAAAAACAAATACAATTATACTAAGTACTAAGTAACTAAGACACAGACACATTGTTAATACACTCGAAAAAAAACTTAAACAGTGTGATTTTCATGTTTAACTGAATTAAATTAAGTTTGGCTGACTGCAGTTGAACGTACAGTCGTGCAGATAAAGCCTTGATACGACGTGATTGACAGGCAATAGACATTTTTTTTGGCGCGTTAGCAGTGTCAACTATTAACAAACAGCGATTTTATCAAGACTTCGAAAACATTGCCGTCGTGCGTACGTGACAAATTGCAAGCAAATTATGTAAACGTTTGCTTTGCTACGCGTTCGGCTTCGCTCGAAATCAATTTCATAAAATTTGATAATATATTTATTCAAAATGGTAACTTAATAGCTAAACAAATGAGCATAATGTCACTTTAATACTTTGGACAACAAACCATTATCTAATTATAAATTATGATCAATTTTCCTTACATCATACACGGTGAATTCACTTACTTCCATGGGCATGAATTTTTGTGTTTTGTTTCCAAGAATATTTTCGGGGGTTCTAAATTTGTGGACTGTCTATTTTTCCAATATGTAAAATGTCAAAAATATGATGCAAACTAATTTTACAGCAGACATAAAGACATATCGTTGGATCATAAATTCATGGATTGGCATATCCACGAAAACCACAATAGTTCATGTCCCACGAATTATACTGATATTGTAGTGTCTTGATAGTATGATTATCAATTGAAATATGAACACCACAATATATATATATGAATAATAGTGTATATTATATTTGCCCAGGAAATATTATCATTATTATAATCAAATTGTTAAAGGCGAAACTGTTGTAAAACAAATAACAAAGACGTCATGCAAGATGCAATATATAGTTTAATAGGCTAAACTATTTTTATCTGATTAACATATATTGCTGCATACACATTCAAACGATTTTTAAAAATATTTAATATAAAGTTAAATTTAGTCTTAGACAGGCTTTTTAAAATCCCCATTTTTTTCTTTTCGATGTACTTTTATAGTATCCATACAGCTACTCATTGGCAAAGATTACCGAATTAATCTTTTTCATTTGTTGCGTTTTTTGGTAATACATACAGATTTAGTGAATATGTATTTTGTATGAAAGTCAACATCTACTTTGTTTACATTTTACTACTTTTATGACAAATTATTTCACATTTATAGCTATTTTTTTCAGGTATCTAAAATTTCTCTTAAACCATTATTTAAACATTACAAAACAATATTGTTTCCTCATTCCAAAGAAATTAAAAACTTATTGGTTTGTGAAGCAAAATGTGCCTTTAAGTATCTTTATATGTTGTTAACTCCGATTATCACCGTTTAGTTCATCAGTAATTGTGTTATTTTTCTATCAGTTCATTTTTTTTCTGTTATAAAACGAATTAAGTTTTATTTTCTTTAACATCTAAGAAAAGTTATTCCATTCTACATTAATAAAATGATAAACACTATCGTAACAGAAACTTGTGTAAAAGAGATTATGTCAAAGTCATGATTATCAATAGACTGTAGTTTGAATTGTTGTTTCAAAATTTATAAAGGGACAAATATTTCAATTGTCGTTGATCTCCCTTACTTTAAAACAAGTTAAACGTCAGCTTTCATTATATATCTATGCAACACTCCAGCATCTTTATCTTCAAACATGGAAGTCATGTTTATACTTGGAGGGAAGAAATCAAATAAACAGTAATAGCACAGAAATGAAAACATGCTAATACCTTAATCACTCGGAAAACCTAAAGTGGATGTTTGATACAAATCATCCAATTGAATGTTAATTTTCAGAAATCAATGTGTCAAATATATACCCCTTACGTAAAAGACAAACACATTTTAAGATGGTAGTTTGCATTTTAGATAAGGCACATTTCAAGCCAAGAAAAACATAGTAATCCGTCATCAAATATTTTTTTCCAAAATGTTTTGAATTATATATTTCTGACCCCGGTAGAAGTTTATCTTTGAAGACCCAAAAATATAACAAAATGATTTCAAAAGCTAGTGTAATGAATATTATATTACAGTTTTAAGTATTAAGTAGACTTCAATCATAGCGATACATAAGAAAACCACTGAAAGAAGGCCAACGATATATGTCTGATTGAAGACGGCTATCAACCCAACGTGCTTCCACGTGAACAGATTCGTTTTCTGCAACTCTTGCCATGGTACTGTGAGACCCGCAACCCGAGTAGGGTTCTGTAAATACGGTTGTTACGGCAATTTGCTCCCCTCCCTTCATAATTGCTACAACCATATGCTTACTTCTTGCACTGCAGACATGCACTGTGAAATGATACATTCCTGCAACCGGTGCTTTGAAAATGCCAGTTTTGGAATTATACCCCTGACCATCGTTGACGGAGACTTCTGGGAAAATAAGCACCTTTCCATTTGGAAAATGTCCTACTGTGTTGGTTGTGTAGGCTTCGAAAGCTATTTTACCTGAAACAAAGTTTATTTAGATATATATTAATACAAAATTAAATTAACTAGGTGGCCTGCATTTTTTTAATTGTTCTTGTTTTTTATAGTTTGTTTTCTTTAACACACTTATTTTAATCTTAAATTCGGGAGTCCTTGTTCGTATGTTGACTCTCGTGGTATCAAACCACTTACTGCCTTTAGGTTATAATACAAACTAGCTAACGAAACAACGGTGTTTCTCTTAAGGTCCCTGTTCATACTAAAAAAAATCAACAAGGGGTATATGAGACTTGTCCTATCAGTAAAGCTTGGAATTTGACATGCGACGTTTACAGTGTTCGTACGTCGTCAACTCCAACAAAAAATAATAAAAAAAACATTTAATCTGCCCCTTTTATATAAGCGTTCCATGTTTTCCCTCTATATATTAAACATTTCAATGTCGATGAGACAAAAACAGACACTAAGAGGCGTTCAAGACATAGCAGATTTTCAAATTTGTTTAAGCATTTATTTCTTTATCTATTATACCAGCTTTCTCGATAAAGATCTCATTGTCAAAAATCTATAAACATGATCATTTTGCAAACTCACAAACACTCAAAAAAAATTGCAACAACCATGTTATAATTAGCCTCATTAGCTTTCAGTAAAACGATCTAAACAAACAAAAACAAACAAAAAAAGAGCTGAAAAACAAACGATATGGCTTGATGAGTGGCTAACAATATAAACTTACTAAAACTTCTTACGCAGCCATTTTTACCACTTCCCTCTTCACATCGGTAACCCGGCAGACACGTCTACAAAAACAGAAAAAAATGGTTATTCCTATATATATATTTTTCTCACTTTCGTTTCGTATTTCTGTTCTTACACCTTTGCAAATTTAATTTATGTATCAATGCGTGAAGGAAAAAAGATGACATCAAAGCTTTAATGAATTACATTGAAGAACGATGAAAGCACAGCACATGCTATAATGGTTTCTTTAAACAAAGATCAGATTATTTACGCGGATTTTCCGATTTTGACATTTGATGAAAGGACAGCGCTATTTCTTTTTGAATTAATCGTCTATTGCTGGCCTTCGGGCTTTTATTTAGACACGTCCCCATGCAAGTCTTTAAGTGAATTTACGACAAAATGTGTATTTATCATCTATAACATTTATATCTGAAATCATCCCTGGACATATTTAATCCCTGGCCCTTCGCGCTCGGATTTAGATACGTCATTGTGCTTCTGTAGATGTTAATGTACGAAAAAAGACGCATTAGTCATCTATAATATTGTTAAGGAATGAGCAGTTTGATTGTGTGCTTCTGTAGATGTTTATTTACGAAAAGAGACGCATTAGTCCTCTATAATATTGTTAAAGAATGAGCAGTTTGATTTACAATGTATATCATCAGTCATTTTGTGCCAGGATAATGCGGTATCAAATCAGAAATATAGCACAAGTTATTGGGATGTGCCCTCCAAATGAATATACTTACTTATAAGACTGTTTTAATGCTAGAAGGGTCACCGTGTTGTGATCTTGATTGTATTTCAATTTGAAGCAATACCATACCGTAGTGGGAAATTTTTCTTTTTTTGCAATTGCCAATACTTTATTTGTTGAGCAATATATTGACACAATTGTTTCAATGTAGCCAGGTGTGCATTTAAGTATTACTTAAGAATATTGTTTATATAGTTAATACGAATTTATAGATTATTATCAATTGTGTTGAAAGCTATAAGCTTATTGAAACATACCTAAATCCGTTCTTATAACAAACCAACATAGGAATTAGTATTAAATTTTTGCTAACGAAAGCATCGGTTTGCACCTGACGTACTTTGAAGCCACATATTCAGCAAGTCTTAGATTACTTGTTCATAACTTCACGGCCTTGACGCCTTATTATAATGTGTATACAATTATAGTAAGTAAAGCAACATACTTCCTTATTCATATTTCCTGGGCAAGGTATGCCTTTACTGTGATCAGGGCCTCTCGCAAAAATAAATTCAGCAACTGAAGCATTTATGAACTAAAGGAAAGAAAATAGCATTTCATTAGAATGTATAGGAAAGTGTTTCTGTTTTCCTCCTATTCAACATAATAATAATAATAATGATAATACGAAATTATAATAAAACGAAATATAAAAATAATAATAATAATAATGATTAATATAATAGTTATAATAATGTAAAAAAAAAATAATGAAAATAATAAAAAAAAATATAGTAATAATAATAATGATAATAATAATAATAATAATAATAATAATAATAATAATAATAATAATAATAATAATTATTGTAATAATAATGATCAAAATGGTAATAATAAATAATAATAATTATTATTTCAATAATAATAATGATAATAATAATAATAATAATGATAATAATAATAATAATAATAATTATAATCAAAATAATAATAATAAAAATAATAAGTATAATTAGAATAATTATTATAATAATTATAATAGTAATAACAATTATAATAATAATAATTATAATTTTTTTGTTACAATTGGTTGTGTTAAAAATGATTTTATTAATAACACATCTGCCATTACTTCCACTACCATAACTACTACTACAACCACCACCATCACCACCACCATTACCACTATAACAACTTCAACTAACAGAACCACAACTATCACCATTGCTAATACCACTATTTCCATCACTATCACCACCTCTACCACTTTTTCTACAACTTACACTACTATTACTACTACTACTGCTACTTTCAGCACAACCACCACCACCCCCACCACCATGACCACTACCGAATCCAATACCACTACTTCTGCTTCTGCTTCTACTACTACCACTACTATTTCTACGGGTTCTACTACTACCACACAAAATAATATTTTATAACTATTTTAAATATTATCATTATTATTCAGACCAATCAGCAAACACTGTATTATTCTGTTCTGCTACCGGTTTTTTCATCTTGATGTCTTGATATTATTGTATAGACATAAGCCAAAAAATGTCAAAATTGTAAAAAATGATGCATATATGTTTAACTTATATATTTTATAAATAAAACATTTCAGACTGCCATGGTATGACAATCATCAAGTAAACAAATATTTTGCTGCTATTATCTCAAATTCTTAATAATGATCATTCGAACACAATATTTCACATCCGTGGTACTTGTTATTTTGTTTGTTGTACTACTTCAAGCACAAACGGGCCCTTGAGTAGAACAACAGACGATCAGTAAGCCAGCTAGATGGCTTCCTTACATGAAAAAATCCAATGTCCCTGTCGGGATCCGAACCCACAAGGCTGATATCTTCTACAAAGGAACCTTAAAATCCTGTCGTAAATCCGCATAATACATCAACGTCCATGTTTTTTATATAATTTAATAAAAAATTCTGGAAACAAAGTGATCCCTCGGAAGCATTAATCACAACAAAATAACAGAAGAATTGCAGACTCGGTTTGATTGAGTCTGTACATGAGAGATAATGAATAAGTGCAACATCCCTCACGCCCCCTAGCACCGGCTTGAGCGGTACTCAAGAGCGGTACTCAATTCTCAACACTTTATAGTGTTGGCATCAATGATCCCGAAGGACCAGAAAATATAACAACACTGAAGTGAAGTACGGGGCAACTTTTCACGGCTGCCACACGGCACTTGACACCTGCTGTTGTGAAGTACAAAATTCTGGAAACAAAGTGATCCCTCGGAAGCATTAATCACAACAAAATAACAGAAGAATTGCAGACTCGGTTTGATTGAGTCTGTACATGAGAGATAATGAATAAGTGCAACATCCCTCACGCCCCCTAGCACCGGCTTGAGCGGTACTCAAGAGCGGTACTCAATTCTCAACACTTTATAGTGTTGGCATCAATGATGGCATCAATAAAGTCAAAAGCAATCCCTAAATAAAATGCCAATTTAAAATATGATTGTTGAAATCTTAAATTTAAGATCAAAATACAGCTTACCAAAACAAGTAGCAATATTACTAGTCTCCCCATCCTGAATATGTCGAAAACAACAAATTAACACTTAGAAGCAGCAATTATTTGTTAAGTTTAGTTTTATCTCAAATTTTAAGCAGCCTATCCCGACTTAAAACAGTCGCTTTTTGAGCTAAATATACATCAAAAACATTTGTCATATTTAAAAAAGCAATGCTTCAACGAGTTTCATCTGATTTATTTTTCATTTACTATTTTTTTAATGGAATAAAATTTTAGTTGAAATAAAAAATGCCTTACCATCAAAAATTTGTTTGATTTAATACTTTTGTAACAAGATGTGTTTGGATCTTACATCCACTAGATTAATCTTACATCCATTAGTATAGACGTTTGAAGTTAATGTGTTTTGTTATAAATTTGTCATTACTGGTTTTTATATGAAGCGAGTGTTACAAGTGTTTTCTGTTATGAGTGGTAACTAATTTGTGTCAAGCCATATCATAATTCTGCTCCGCAAAGGGGGGGGGGGGAGGACACGAAATACGACAAAGTGGATAAAACTTACGTGAACACAGGCCTGATATGGAAGAAACACTGTTTCGGTGACATTTTGTTTGAAATTTGAATACTGAATTAACGGATCGATTTGACAGTAAAACAGAGCACCACTGAAGTCAAAAATCAAAAGCCAAATAAAAGCATAATATTTCACATAATACCAACTGATACTCTTTAAAATTTGAATGATCTGAAATGCATGATTACGCATTATTATAAAAGTTAACCTTGAATTGAAAACTGCTTTTGTGTGCAATTCTTTGTCAAACTTAAATGAAAAGCGCTGGGACATTTTCATTTTAAGACAGTTTTTCACAATGATTACTCTTGAAGAAACAGGGTGAGGGAATGATCTAGGAGTTCCGAGAAATATTGCCAATCCTGTCATGTCAAATATCCCCCAGATTTCCATTTTGTATTGTAATGTTCAAGCCGACTTAAGGTAGTACACTATTCCTACGCGTTTTCACAATATAATAACTAATGCAACGATGAATATTTGAAAAAAAATGAAAGAAGATAAAATACGGCGCTTGCGAAACGATATTGTTATACGATCAGTTAAAATCATTGTATGACACAATAAACGCATATTTTATAACACTACTTAAACGACTACCCCGAGGAAAATTTTTTCGGAAATACAAACATCTTGTCGATAACGAAATCTGTTCACGTTACATTACATTATTTACGAACATCGAAAACGAAAGGGAGAAACGCCTATGCATAAAATGTCAAGAGCATTTGTTTCATCTTTTTTTATGTTGTTTTAAAGCAGTTATGTATAAGAAACACATTTCTGTTATTGATGATTTGGACATAATTTTATGACCACTATAGTTTGGTCAAATTCAACTTTTAAATTAACCATTGAAATTTGTGTCCGGGGATATTATTATCAATAATACTTTTTTCAGGACCTTGGATATACGTGTTGTGTAAGTTCTTACCTTGTCATGATCGAACGTTCAAGGTCCAATATTCAGTATGAATGGTATCAATGTCTATAGGTTATATATGTTATTTTTTGGATTATTCGTTTCATATAATTGAACAATTGTCAAATGAAAGAAAGTGAATTAAACATGAAATTTGTCGTCGAAATGAAATACATAAGGATCCCCCTCAATACCTCTAATTTACCGCTCTATATATGGAGTTCTTCTGTGTTCTATAAACAGCTCTCGAGGCGCTGTTTTGAATAAGACTTGACATTGACATGATGCACTTTTTTTGTAGGATGTGTTACTGAAAAACAAGAATGTACCTAGTTCAAAACAGCACAGAATTATTTTCCCTTTCAAAAAAACATAAAATCTGAAGGCCGCTTTAAAATGATGATGATAAAATATTAAATACTTATGATACCTAAGTCAGTTTTCTTGTTCCTCTTTATCCCATCCAAAACTTTACATTTAGCTAAAAAAAAGAACGAGTACTTTTGAAACATTCTGTTAATTATTTCTACGGCGATATATGAGTACATTCTCATCTGCATGTTATTCAGTTAATATGAGCTCGTTGCTTTTATACAGAGTGCCACTGATTGCGAGTTAAAACGCGAATGACATCAAGTCCACTGTAGTCTGGCCGCTCGATGAAAAGCTGTAAAAAGTTGACCTTCATATGGACGTCGGACACGAATAAGGTTGTGACACTGTCTCAGACGAGTATTTAGCATTAGAGCATTAACACTATAACGCCTTGCAGCACAGGTTGCTAGCAAATAACAGTTACTTTAGTGTGGTGACATACTAATGCGGTCAGTTAGCCTGTGAAATACCTAGATATGAATTGTCTGAGCTTCAGATAAAGCGTGCTACTATCATGTGCAAAAATTTTAAGCAGAGTTGACAAGACAAAAGGATTATTTTATCCAATGCTGAGCAGGCTAAGATAAATTGACTGTGATAAAGACACACATCGTTTGTATTATAAGAGTAAAATCTTCATTATGGGTCAGTGTCAGTGACTTTTGTTTATTTTATGAGGAGGCTATCCAGCTAGCCTTTGGAACGCAGGCTTTTTCATTTAGGTTGCCGAGAAATACACAGAAGGGCTCCTGCGGTCTTCCTTCACATGTAACCCTAGGGAGTGGCCAAATGATCTCTAGTGAAGATATAAATACTCGTCCCAAATATACAGTAACTGTTTTTTTTTAATATATTATGCAAGAAGTAACATTCACTTTGGCGCTTGTTTATTATGAAAGGAATTGTTTATTAGAAAGTCATTATATTAAAGCTAAAATGCTTTATAGAAAATGAAAAATAATCAAAGAAAATTATTGAACACATCAGTATCGAATTATATCATAATTTATGTAAATCACATTTCTTTGCCTCCTTATAGCAATGCAAAGGATCGAGACTGGTATACCTATTGCTTGAATGGTTTTCATTTTTTATTGTTTTCTTTCATTTATTTCTGAATGTGAATATTTAAAAATAACATTATGCCCATCTAAATGCAGATAATAAATGCACTTGACATTTTGTTCTGATAATTGTACATGTTGCTAAAATTGTTCCCAGTTTTATGTTTTATTAAGCAGAAAAAGTAAGTTATCCTTGTGACACAGTGACATTTGTTCATTTTCTAATAAAAGTGGGGATAGTCTTTTCATAATTTGTTCTTTCTGTTGTTTTCTTTTTGATATTGTAACATTTTTCACAATCATTTATTGGTAATTTACCATTATAATAGTCAATATTTTGAACTACATTTTGCCCCAGTTTCTTCCCTTATCTGAGAAGCCAAACTCAAATCAAATTTGAAAAATATGTCCAATAATATGTATGGTATTAGAAATAAGCATATTCTTATAAGTGATATAAATCACATGGGACACGTCATTTGAATATAGGGGAGGGGGGTCTTGAAATTTGGTTTTATAACATACAGGCAAAACATGTTTAAAATCTAAATAATTACTAACACAAAAACAATTATACTTAGTTCTAGGTAATAAGGACACAGAAAAATTGTTAATACACTCGATACAGACCTTAAACAATGTGATTTACATGTTCAACTGAATAAAATTAAATTTGGATGAATGCAGTTGAGCGTAAAGTCGTGCAGATAAAGCCTTGATACGACATGGTTGACAGACAAAATACATTTTTTTGGCGCGTGAGCAGTGTAAACCATTAATAAAGTACGATTTTATCAAGGCTTCAAAAACATTGCCGATGTGCTTACGTGATAAACTGTAAACAAGTTATGAAACCTTTTGCGTTGTTACGCGTTCGTCCTCGCACGAAATGAATTTCATTAATATTGTTACTATCTTTATTGCAAGAAGTCATTTAATAGCTAAAAAGTTGAGCATAATGTCACTTAAATACTTTGGCAAAATATATAAACTAATTATGAATGATGATTAGTTTTCCTTACAGCATATACTGTGAATTCACTTACTTCCATGGGCATGAAATTTTGTGTTTTGTCTCAAAGAATATTTTCGCGGTTTCTTAAATTTGTGGACTGTCTACTTTTCAAAAATGTAAAATGTCAAACATATGATGCAAACTAATCTTACAGCAGACATAAAGACATATCATTGGATCATAAATTCATGGATTGGCATATCCACGAAAACCACAATAGTTAATGTCTCACAAATAATACTGATATTGTAGTGTATTGATAGTATGATTATCATTTGAAATATGAACACCACAATATACGAGTATATATTAGAAACATAGTGTATCTTATATTTGCCCAGGAAATATTATCATTATTATAATCAAATTGCTAAAGGCGAAAATGTTGTAAAACAAATAACAAAGACGTTATGTAAGATGCAATTTGTAGTTTAATAGGCTAAACTATTTTTATCTGATTAACATATATTGCTGCATACACATTCAAACGATTTTTAAAAATACTTAATATAAAGTTAAATTTAGTCTTAGACAGGCTTTTTAAAATTCCCCATTTTTTTTCTTTTCGATGTACTTTTTTAGTATCCATAAAGCTACTCATTTGCCAATATTACCGAACTAATCTTTTTCTTTTGTTGTTTGTTTGGTAATAAAGACAGCTTTACTAAATATGTATTTTTAATGAAAATCAAAATCTTCTTTGTTTACATTTTACTACTTTTATGACAAATTATTTCACATTTATAGGTACTTTTTCGGGTATCTTAAACTTCTCTTAAACCATTATTTAAAAATTACAAAACAATAGTTATTCCCATTCCAAAGATATAAATAACTTTTTGATTTGTGTAGCATAATCTGCATTTAAGTATCTTATAATTATCTTCAATTTGTTGTGTAATTGTTAAGTCCGATTACCACCGTTAAGTTTATCAGTAATTTTAATATTTTCTTTCAGTTCTTGTTTTTGCTATAAAAAGAATCAAGTTTTATTTTCTTTAACATCTAAGAAAATTAATTCCATTCTACAATATTAAATTGATAAAAACTATCGTAACAGTTTGATAACTTTTGTAAAAGAGATTATGTCAAAGTCATGATTATCAATAGACTGTTGCTTGAGTTTTTGTATCAAAACTTACAAAGGGAAAATTATTTCAATTGTCATTGATCTCCCTTACTTTAAAACAAGTTAAACGTCAGCTTTCATTATTTATCTATGCA